GGAGGTTATGGTAGGCCGTTGCTGTTAAGAGCCATAAAAGCAGATGACAAAGCGGGTTACGTCACCACCGGCTCTCACTCCATCGCATAGACTGCAGGAAAGCACAGCAGAATTTCTAAAACCTGGTCGCACAAGGGGTGACTCAAACTACACTTGGTATCTTTCCCTTGCAGCCCAGGGGAGACCCGCAGGGCACAGAAAGAGGAGGAGAAGCAGCTGCGAGCACAGAAGACGGCGCCTCCCTTGTCTTCAGCTGCTACGGCTCTTCTGGAGATCCCCCACCAGCAAGGCCTGGCTTACCTCCGTCCTCTGCCATCCTCTCTGCGGCAAAGGGCGGGTAACCTGGCCAAAATTAACCGACAGCTTGGAGCTACTCGGCTGGGTGCTGCAGGGCGAGCTCCGGCAAGTCACTCCATCTCCTTGCACCCCAATGCACAAGCTGAGACAAGGAGGACTAGAAATAATCACCAATGCACAGAAAGAGTGCAAAAGCTTAGGAATAAAAAGGTGCTATTAACTTAACCTAACTCTAATACCTTACAGTTATACTTACCCTCACTTTTTATTTCCCAGAGAAAGACATGTTAATAATAGATTAAAAAAAAATGTACAGTTCACCTTTGTCTTTTTTCTTTCCAAGACCTAGTGCAGCATAAAGGTAGATCTAAATATGCTTTGGAAAGGAGAACTCACATTTTGGAGTGGGTACGAGCAGTGGGAAAGCCAGCACAACAAAACAGTAATTGCTGAGACTGGCAAAACCCTTCAGAGACTACCTAAATCCACTCTCTCTTAATAGCAGCACAAAACACTCATCTCCCTCATCAAACTTCCTGAAGTAAGTAAGCTCACATCAATCGTTTGACAATTTCTGTTTACAGCTGATGACCAGCTTTCAGGCACAGAGAATAAAACACTACTTCAAGAATGCTTAGCATCTCCGTTAACTCAAGACACTTTACAAATACTAGCACAACCCAGCCCAGCGAGGCAAAACAGGCAAGCAGCGAAACTGCCGACCTTGTTACAGGCACAGTCTTCGCTCTGTTCTCTGGATTTGAAACTGCCAACGCGTTGGGTAAGGGCTGTCTGCGATTCTGCGCTCCGCAGAATCTTGGATGCTTCTGCTGCTGTTACTGACACGAGCATATCATAAAATAAATACATCCAACTGCTTTTTCTTTCCTGCTGGGACTACCAATACGCTACACCAGCTGCTGTAGATTTTGAAACAGATGCATTTGCTCGGAACTGGATCACAACAGTTTATATAACCCAGGCTAACAGACACGAGGGGACCGATCCTTCAGTCACAGCTAGCCAGTGGTCATAATTATCTGCTCATATGGATGTGCCCTCTGTGGCTCTCCTGCTAATTAAACAGCAGTTTGTGCCATTTATCAAAAGAATCAGAGAGCAACTGAGGTCATTAAGACAAGTCTTCATCCGAGACAGGTGTGCACAATGCTTTGCAAGTAAGGCTGAACCTGTGCACCGGAGCTGCTTGTGCCCAGGCTTTGTCTGAGGTCCGCTTTCAGCAGCAGAACTGCGCTCCAGAAGCGCAGAGTGTCCCCAGGACGCGGCGCTGCTCGAACTCGCTGCTCACAGCAGTCGGCAAAACACCAAGGTACCAGCGAAAGGCTACGGTGGGCTCCGATACTCATGTACTTCAGCACATCAGCTACAGCCTTATTCACAGTCACAGAAGTTCTCCTCCGCTTCCCCTTTGGAGATGGCAAGGCCTCAGTTCAAGACAGTCCTGAAACAATGTGGATTTCAACGCCAGCTGCTTATGATAAGCACACAGGCTAAGTGTCACTCTGCTGCACAAATTGGAAGCAGAAATGCTCTTTTGCCCTCATTACACTTCTTGCCTGCTCTGCCGCGGCTGTAATGGCAGATAAAGGGCATGTACTCACAGGCCTCAACTGGAACAAAAATTACTTTCTGGACCACAGGAGAGTTGGTGCTATTATGCCCCTTCTACCTCCCTGCTTCAGTACTACAGTAAGAAAAAGGAAACAAGAGAGGAAAAAACATACACTTAAAAACAGCTCTTCTGATAATTGGGAGAATATCCTCTTGGGAGAACACCGGGTGACTGGAGGCACAAAACAGTTGTTATTAATACAGATAGTGCCCAGGTACCCTGCACAGGTAAAACAATGCCAGTTAGTTTTGTGAGTGCCAGCCTCCCAATGCTCTGTAAAGGCACGGAGAGAGAGATGGATCATAATTGCAAGAGGGACCTGTGTTTACATTCCTATTATCATCTTCATTTAATTATCCTCCTCATACCACCTGGGCAAGAACTCGGAAAGAAAGAAAACAATGAGACTGTTGCTTCTATTGTGGCATATAGAAATAACCTTTCTCATTTAACCTTTTTTCCCACTTACATCATCTTGTGCCTTTTTTTTTTCTTTTTTTTTTTTTCTTTCCAACAAACATTTCCTCTCTGGATTTTCAGCCAGATGATTTCTGAAGTTACAGACTCAATTTTTCATGGCATCCAACAACCATCACTTTTCTCCGGGAAATCAGGAATTGCTTCAAAATACCAGCAGTTGGAATCTGGCAATTTTTACCTTTGTAAGCCACTTTTGTCACTACATGACACTATTCTGCTACTTCATGATGATTTACTTTGAGGCTGTAGAGGGGCTACCGTAAAGCCTTCCTAGATGTCTGCAGACAAGGGTGCTGGAGAGGCAGCTGGTAGAAGAGGGTCTCCATCTGATAAAGCAGTTGGTAATCAACTGGAAACCACCGGTCATGTAGAGCAGCACCTCAATACAGAGGACTTACAAAGGAAACAGTTCCCAGTGAAACGCCATCATCTTCCACTTGGCCAGTGGCTAACACTGGAGCAACGAATCCCTGCACCATTAGATGATTTATTAGTCACAAAAGTTGTGTTATATTTTTATTGTCTTCACAGATAAATCAGGCCAGCAAGACATCCATAACCATACACATAAAATATTTATCAAAACAATTAACGTTACAAATCTCCTTTTAAAATAATTTATTTCACTGAGTTCTTTTGAAATGGTACTGTCTTACAACATACATTATTCAACAAAGATGTGCTGAACAGACTCTAAAATAAGAAACACTTAAGTTAAGCAACTGCCTCCAATTAGAATTTCAATTTCACCCACATCCTAACTTGTAAACTTTTGCTGGAATACGCTTCTGTTGTAGGCTTGATTTTTGTGCTTACAAAAACAGCATCAAGTTTCCAGATGTTGAAAAGAAAAAGTTACTGTACGGTAAGTATGCATTCAGTTCAACATACAAGGCAACCAAATGATTCTGTCGTTAACGTTAGCATCATGTATATTTTAGTTCACTGCACTAACATTTAAACTAAAACTTCAAACCACATAATCTTTTAAGTGACTAACATTTAAAAGGCAAGCAGTAATATCCTGAAAGCTTACAAAGGACATCAGCACACAGCTAAGACAGGGCATCATTTGACAAAGGCTGCGGATGTGTGTATGGCTGCTTTTTTTTGTACGAAGCCCACCTGCAGACGGGGCAGCAGTGTCGCCCGCCAGCCAGCCACATCACGATGCAATTCTGGTGGAACACGTGGCCACACGGCAAGCCCATCAGCAGACAACCGTTTGCAAAATTTTCTAGACACACAACACATTCTGTACAGTGCAACATCTCGGAGGGCCAAGCTGACCAATCTGGCTCCATGTCACTTGCGGTGCTGTACGAGCCGTAGGATCTCGCTTTCCGTTCATATGGCTCGTGATGACAATATTTATTGGCACACGAACAGGTCTCAGCACTGCACCGAGGCTCTCCGCTGCGCCTATGAAAGGTGTTTAGCTCATCGTCCTCCGAGACTTCCTTTTCACTACTGAAGACCTCTTTGTTCTCACTGTCAGAGTCACTTTCGCTGTCTTGAAAGGTTTCCAGCATTTCCTCATCAGAATGGATGCCAAGGCATTTAAACCTCCACATCGGTAAGTTTTTTATGTAATCGGTTGGTATCAGAGGGTGAAGCCAGAGATCGGGGAAAGCCAACCGCTCCAAGAACAAATCCGGGTCTTCATCCCAATCTGAGTCAAAAGGAAAGTGTTGAAAAGAAGCAATAGGGTGAAACAAGTAGCTGGTGTACCAGTCCCACAGGCTTGACAGCCACTCCAGATTATTAGCATTTACTTCATCGGTGTTGTTATTGCGTCTTCTTTTCTTCTCAAAGTAATCAATTAATAAACCATGACCAAGGTATGTGCTGAGGAAGAGGGCTGGATGCGAAGAGTAGAACATCCAATCGGCTCTTACCCAAGAAGCCAAAGTAGTTGTGTTAGAGTACCTGAAGAGTTTTAAACTATACTCATAAAAGCTGTCTAAGTAGGGTAGTTGCAAAAAACCTAACACGGGTAACCAGGAAATAATTAATAATGAATTATACGTCCCTAAAGTGCTTATAAGAACGACAAAACGCTTTATAGTAGCGCCTTGTGTAATAAACAGGTCCATCCAAGCCATCAGGTTAACCAAAACCAAGCTTAAAACAAATAAATCATTAACTTCTGGTTGCAACGAGCGCAAAAAGGTATCCATGGCACGTAGTGATATAAATTCACCGGTGTTATTTCCATACCTGTAAATCCCCTCGGGAGTCCTAAGTATGTATGATGGTGTCTTGTAGATACCAATTTCTGCCATGTAACTTTTATTGTCCCAGTTCTCCACATTCACAAAAATAAACTCTACTCTTCCAGTAAACTTCACACTTAGCGCAGAGAAGAACGCTGGAGGCTGGTCAAGGTTGGCAAACAGGTATATTTTCACATGGTACTGATCACTTTTGTTCCATTCTTCTTTTAAATGCTCGGAGTTGTAGATGGTTTTGATCCGAGAAGCAGCATGGGCAGTGATCCATTTGAAAATGTGCTCCACTTCGATTTTGCGCCCGCTGTATTCCTTAAGCATTACTTTTCCCTTGGAGGTACTGGTTTGTGGAACCGACATAATGAGTGTGGATTTCAGCCAACCCCTCCTCCTGCAGTACCTACAAAGAAAATGGCAAGTTAGATCAGAGTTTCATACCCTTGGAGCTGCAGTCCTTAAACTTCTGTTACGAGCCCAAACATGACACATGCTGAGCACCCAGAAATCTTTACATATAATAAAAAGTAGGAAATAGGGGCACCCAGTGTTCTCCGGCAAAGTGTATTTTTATCTGTCTTACAGAAATGTTGTAGAGATACACATATTCATAAAACGGGGAGAGGAATAGTGTTAATTTTCATAGGTCGTTATAGTAAACAAGGCCATACAGTCAGTCATGCTTTGTAACTGGATTTCAAAAATACACATGCTGACTTTTCACTCTTCACTATAAAGCTTTAGTGTTAGAAGCTATTTTTCCTTCGCCTTCCAGCCCAGAAGATAACCACTACAGTGTAACTCCACGTCTCGCAGCTTTCGCGAGCCTGCAGATAACTTTCCTAGTCCTTCCTTCCGTTCCAGTTTTGCCAAGCAGCTGTGGGGTGAAGTTAACAAGACACTGGTCTCTTCGCAGTTGCTTTAACGAAGCTGACAAGTGTCCCCTTCCTACCGGTGCCATGTTGGAAGGACACAGACCGGCTAAGAGGTGTGGTGAGAGAGCTCACCACAAAACCGGTAGAGGAGGAAGCAGACATGTGCTGCCGCATGGTTTGGGCTAAAAGAATACCCCCGCTCTCTGGCAGGCAGTGCTGAGATGGGATGAACTCCAGGTCCATACCTAAAAAAGAGGCTCTTCAAGGCTGAACCCCGAGTCGTGGTCCAGACCCCAGTAACTGTGAGACAAGTCTGGTGACTCAGAATATCCCTTCTCTCATGCATATTTTGTATCAGCATCATTATGCCACCTGATTTATCTAGTCCTTTTAGCAAGTGTCTGGCAAGTTTCAACAATCAAAACATTACGGAGCCAGCAGGCATGCAAACTGCCTCTGCGAACCCTGCACACTGAAATAACAGGGGCCATCAGCCTCATTCACTAGCCGTCCTCCCTAGTTTTGGTCTATCAACTTATATGTAAACAGTTACAACTCCCCACCTCAGGAATTGGAATGTAACATTTTTAGAAGGAGCTATAAGATATTACCCCACTAATAAAGGTAACCTGCCTGCTGTAGCATGCAGTGTTCTTCTGCATTTCAGCTGCAGCCTGATGAAAACTATTCACAGGGATTTACTCAACAAAACATTTCCTGTATTAAAAATTAATTCATTTAAAACATAGTATTTGATCATAACATTAAGACTAGTTAGCAGCTATGCAAAGAGAAAACACTGCCAAATTTTTAAGATGTTCAAATACCAGTGTTTGGATTATACAAGATTATTTTGCATAAGCACTGCAAAGTCTAAGAATTTTCTCTTATGATTAACTTTGAGATTTCTGTAAACATTTAGGACTTAAGCTGTGCGAGATGTGCGCATAGCCATACAAACCACTGGAATTCTAGACAAAGTTTCCCATCATATGAAGCAAACGCTTCCCACAAAATGTTAAAAAAATTCTTTTTACAGCAGCACAGAATTATTAATAGCTTCTTTGGCTCTGCTCTTCTTCCTTGTTCAAAATCATATGCAGACAACAGTGACTCTTGCATAGCAGACTGTATGTTGTCAAAGGGCATGTGCAAGTTTATATATAAACATATATACATTTGTCAGGGAACAGGATTTGTCAGTAATCCTGGGAAGCAGGCACAGTTTGCAAGGTTCATGCTAACCTGTGTTTCTCCTTTCCAGATGGCAATATAACAACTCTACAACTGATATTGTTCTCTTACGTAGCCTATATATATATTCAGCTTTGCCCTAAGCAAGCACAGTTCTTGTCCCCAAATGCCTGGACTGTAAGGCCAGATTCTTCTATTCTTTCCCATCCATTGCTGTATTACACTCCACATAGTCTGATCATGTATTTCCCACATAATGCTTTAGGAAGCTGCAGATCTGTGTTTCTGATGCTGATAAATAATATAATGGAGAATTCTGAACAGACTTTAGTAGACATAAAACCATGAATAAAGCCACCTTCTGTCACAGCTACATTTACAACACAGCAAGCCCCACTGCCAGAACACAGCTGAGCCTTAAGATATTCTCGGGATTTAGATAATCCTTTAAGAATGTACCTGGGGTCACTGGAACAGTTAAAAGTGCCAGTACGTATGCCGAATCTTGATACTTTCTTCACCATTTTCTCCCAGTGGACTTTACCCACCAGTGGACTTCTGTCATTTGCTATGACCTATTGCCAAAAGGAAATAGTAATTTAGCATCACGTAAGTTTGCTTCCTGAAATAAAGAGCAAGCTTCATGGAAACAGAGATCTAGTCACCCTTGAGATTGTCTTCCCCTTCTCTTAGAACATACAGTAGGTATGTACAACTGGTAGTCACACCAAGTGTCTTTAGAGAGTTAAGCTTTAAGAGAGAAATACAGTTTCTGCAGAAAGACAAAAGTGCATCACCATTTTAAGTATCTGTTAAGATCTGAAAATCAGTGGTAGTTAACAAAAACCTCGGGAAGATAACAAAACTATCATTAACCAGTTCATAGTAGGGGAGAAGGGAAGAGGGTGCAGCAGGTTCCTCTTCTTCGCAGTAAAAAAGACCATTATTTTATTACAGTTCTCCATGAAAAGTTACAACATATGAAAGAAAGGTTGTCTCAGAGCAAGTAAAATGAGTTGTAACACATGTACCTGGTACCAGATTAGACTGCCAACAACCGCTCCTAAGCGGTGAAAATTAGTGATTAAACTCCCAGATAATGCCTAAAAATCTTGACTCCTTCCAGCTTTGCCAGTGACTCACTCTAACTTCACCCGACTGTTCCACCAGCTCCAGTGTCTCATCTGCCATTTCAGGAGGATAATGCACTGTGATATATCCCAAGGTCTAATTTGTTCTAACCTAGTATATTAAAGTAGTACTTCAGGTTACCTGAACGTAAGCTTCTGCAGACATGAATGACAAAGAACAAGCACTCATCCTCCGACTTATAACTGTACAGGGAAGGAAAAAAAATGAAAGAGAAAAAGAAAAACCTGCCTGCCTGCTGCTGACAGGTAATTTTGAATGACATGACTGATCATGCATTATTCCATGAGCCATCACAGTTTCTATTTTAGAAATGCCTCACATGCTTCTGCAGGCTGACTGGCAACCACTTAAAATACATTTTTAAATTAAGTTTTGAAACTTCCATTTGTTAGGGATTTGTTTACCTGCCATTAAATTATTTTCTGACTTAATAATCTGAAATGCCAGCTTCCCTCTGGAAGTTAGGCTGTCGCCGGGATCAACAGTTCTCTGTGTACAGGTCGAGATGCAGAGCTGGAAAGCACGTCTGGCCCTTGAGACTCAAAACAAAATACCTGCTTTGTGGCAAGTAGCATCCACTCAGAAATGAAAAAATCAGAGAATTCACTAAGCAGAACATTCCACATAAGGAAACAAAGCTAAACTGAAGTCACAGTTTACGCTCCCATTCCATGGAACCCAACATGTTTAAATAAAATCGGAGGTGAACATCTAGGTAAGAATCCTTCAAGTTATTCTCAAAACACACACATCACATCAAAAAGCCTTTTTCATTAGCTAAACATAACCTTCAAGCACCAAGACAACCAGCTGGGGCAACATGCCATCCTACTGAGGCTTCTTTACATCATCCGATGTAACTGAAGCAATTACTTTGAATATTTTAAACTTCTTCCTTTCATGTACTTCAATTAAGAGAGACCACATTCCTAAAGACACATTAACACCAGCATATCCTCTGAGCTACTACAGCATGATGAATGCATCCAACATAGTAAGGCATCACTATGTTTTATTAGTAAGCCTAACAGTAAAATGTTGGTAACTGGATTACTCTTTGGTACAACTATTCAGAGATCAGTTGCTTCCAAAATTCTGTGTGCATGTTTCGAGAAAGCCTAGCACAGTTTTTGAGAATATGCTGAAGTTATATGCAGGAGAACCGATTCTGCTCAGCTTTTTCTTCAGTCTGATATAACAATATTCACTTTAAGTGTCAAGAGAAGGAGATTTGTTGCAAATATGGTCACCAGTGTGTTTTACTGTCACCTGGCTGGTTGTACTGGTGGATTCTTTAATACCAGTTTAATTCCCTTCCTATGAAAAAGTCCTTCCTCTTGGAGAAATTTATTTATGCTGAAGGACAATGACAGAGCTAGCAGTTTGCATTTTGTAACAAGATAGAACCCTACTATTGTTTTGCACACTAAAGCTTTGTAAAATTTCGTGGGCTCATTTGTCATTATGACAAAAAAACCCAAATAAGCATGTCCATTGCAGCTGCTCCTTACAGACAGCACCCACTTACAACATGGGAAACTCACCACGCAGAAGCAAGGGTTTGTATTTTGGAAAGCAGTCATCATCTCTGTGGATGAGGGAGTCTGAGAAAATACCGCAGGTTAAGCAATCACAATCTAATTCAGTTTAAATTAAAGATAACTTGCAAACATTTGTAACAGATTTTTTTTAAGAAGTGTGAATTTTGATAAGCTATGAAATTTAGCTTAAAAACCTGTGACTGAGGAGACCAGGAGTTTGAATGTGGAATAGGCCTGGAAATTCTTCAAGTCCAAAGTGTTAAAGCTATCAGGATTTTCTATTTCAAGCCAGGGAAAAAAAAAAGTTGCCAAGTCCTGCACTTGTTACTAGTAAGCACTTCCAAAAAGACATTAGAAATAGTTTGAGAATCTACAAGGAATGAAAAAAGATCAAAAGGAAGAACTAGCAAAAAAAAAAAAAAAAAAAAAAAAAAAAAAAAAAAAAGAGAGATGCGGGAAATAAAAAAGTAGTAAGGAAAAATGAGCAATTCGAGTTAGACCACACAAAGGATATTACAAGTGGTACCAAAAGGTTTTTAGTCATATGAATAAGAATAGAACTGGGGGGAAGCAGCAGGATCACAATACAATGAAGATAGGATAGAAATGTAAAATAATTTCCTTTTTAAAATTAAATTAATGTTCTGACTCAGTTTTCACTGAAGAGGAGCTGACTGGCCATGGACAGGTTAGCAAGTTTATGGGAACAGACTTGTTTCCATGTTCAGGTGATACAAACTCAAATAACTTAATGCACTTAAATCAGAGTAAGCAGGTGATCTCCATCCCAGAACTGTAATACAATGAGCACACCAAGTTACACGTGAACCTGCGAAGATTTCTTATAAAAGCCTTGTCAGAGTAATTCACATTTTGACAGGAGAATAAGGAGCTAGTAACTATATTTAAGAGCAAATGAAAAAAAATTATCCAACCAGTTTGATCTCAACATTATGCAAAACTGTAGAACAAATTTTAAAGGCGCAGAGATGGTTGAATTTTCCACCCCTTTCCAGCATGGAATTACTAATGAAGTTTCATTCCTGATTAAGTTGAGAGTTAAAAATCCATCTTTTCCTGGAAGAACAGAGTTTCGAGAGAAAGGAATGTATTACTCCTTCTGGACTTTGGTAGGGTATCTAGTACTGTGCCACATGGAAAGTTTTCAGGAGAACTGGAGGTGAGTTTTTATAGTGAGTTAAAAAAAAAGAATTTTAAAGTGAGTAAGAAATTGGCTAGGCAAGAGAACATCAAAACGCCAGAAAGGTGCTAACACACTTCACAGATTTACCTTAGAGCTCAATTCAGCATATATTCCTATTAATGCCCTTCCTGAAGAAACATGAAGTCTCTCAAAGATGACATAAAATTGGGAAGCACGTCTGTGTACAAAAGAGGATTATAATGCCATACAGGAGGAGCTGCACAAATCTTGTCATGCAGTGTCAGAAATTGCTCCCTCAGTAAGTTTGCAGACAACAC